CTGTTTTGTGCCACTGCATAGTATCCAGAACAACAAGAACAAAACATTTATTTCATAAATGAGAAAAATGTTGATTGAGTTTAAGTCTTGGAGGTTTGGCTCAGTTCCTTGTGAAAGTACAAATCTGTATATTTAAGCACAAAAAGTGGCACATTTGCTTTCAATGGATTTATATAGACCGAGAAGCCAGAATGTGAGCAAAATGTGGCTTATGTTCAAATCCTCTCAATTCTTCAATGCTTTTATGTTGTTATTCCCAGAATACACTCCCTCATTAGTGTTTGGTGTTCTCATTTGTATGTTACAGTGTTAGCGGCATATATTATGAAGAAATGAATGAAAAAGAAACGAAAAACTCCACTTACAAAAAACGTGCTGTGGTAGCACAAGTGATGTTTTAAGTTGTAATACCACGGTACTTTGAGATGGACGTGTGGCCCACCAATAATGTGCTTGTTTTTAAGTTCATGAAAGGTAACTTTGGAAAGCAGTGGTGGGTGGCATGTCCACATTTTCCCTTCCAAGTGATTTGAGGTCACTGATTTTGGCCTTTTATCTATTAACTATATGTGTATTCTGTTCCAGCTCCCAATCGCTCACTGAAGCTGTGACTGTGAATAGTTAGCAGAAAAACAACCTTGAGGATGTCCTCCATTCTTGCTTAAATACCTTAATTCAGGCCTCTCTTAATCTCGCAAACACAGATGTAGCCACTCGAACACGCTATTCTGATCGTCCACTCGAGGGGCCTGTTTTCTTCTGCTTTTGTGTCCTCGGTAAAAGTTCCCCCTCCCCTGCTTGCGCTCGCACATTCACACTTTACAGCAGAAAAGAAGGAAATTGAGGTCTGGATTGCTGGAAAATATTCTCCCGTTGGTTCGCTGGCTGGAAGACTATTGGAACCTCTTGTAAGCTGAGTTATGTTGAAAAGAGAGATGCTGTTTTTCATTTTCTCATCCTCCATTCTGTCGGGTTTTGAAAATGCTAGTTCAGTGGAAACATTGTACGCTGCAGTAATTTGCTGTTCTGAATCACATATTGATTCACTACTGTTCAAAATTTTGGGATCAGTAAGATTTTTATTATTTTTTTCCAGCAAGAATGCATTAAATTGATGGAAAGTGACAGTCAAGAGATTTATTATGTTACAAAAGCTTTCAATTTCAAATAAATGTAGTTTTTTAAAAACTTTCTATTCATCAAAAAACACTGAAAATAACAAAAAAATATTAATTAGCACAGCGGTTTTAAACATTAATAATCATAAGAAATGTTTCTTGAGCAGCAAATCAGCATATTAGAATGATTTCTGAAGAATCATGTGACACTGCAGACTGGAGTAATGATGCTGAAAATTCAGCTTTGATCACAGGAATAAATTACATTTAGATTCGAATAGTCATTTTAAATTGTAGTAATATTTCACAAATATTTCAGTTTTTTACTGTATATTTGACAAAACAAATGTAGCCTTGGTGAGCATAATTTTCTTTTTTAATAATTTAAATCTAAATTACAACATTGCATTGATGCAGTCAGATTTTTAATTCTGTCTTCCTATTATATTATCTCCTACAGTTCAGTTAATAAAAAAACTGGTCTCTTAAACCAGCATTGTAAGGTAGCTGAGATAACCATCCCTACTCCAATACACATGTAAAGATCAAAACATCACTGTACGTTATGGTATTGTTAAAGTTATTATACAGATAAGTGACCACACTGAGAAATGCCAGTTTATTAAAATTGCTCGTTTCTTTATTAGTTGAACTGTGGGATAATATATGAAAAGGCACATAAATCAACATGGATCTAAAGTATTGTGAAAAGCAATATCATGAGAAAAGGAATTGCCGTATTGATGATTGTATCAGTGCAGCCCTGATTAGACCTCATGATCTTTTCTTATTTGTTTCATCCGTTCTCTTCCCAACAAATACACATCTTCGTCTTGTCTCAATCATCTCTGTCTCCACTATCACCTTCTCTGTTTGTCTCAAAGGACTGCAGTGGGTTGTGAATCAAACCTGGCTGCTATCTCAGGTAAATTAGAAACTCTGCCTGATCAATACATCTCATCATTCTATGAACGTCTTTCTGCTTGGTTTCTCCTTCTTCACTTTCAGCACCACAATTTTCTGTCTGCAGAATACAGCTTTTGGTGGAGCTTGACCATAATGTATTTTGAGAGTTTCTTCCTTCCTTCTTTCCTTCCTTATTTATTTATGATCATTTATTTGCTTACTGTTTTTTTTTTGTTGTTGTACATTTTGTCCAATTTGCCACTTTTGATTTGACCATGGTGAAAGAACAGCAAATAATGAGAAATGAGATTCACAGGATTCAAACTTGCTTGCTTATTTATTTGCTTATTTGCTGTAGTTTTTTTGGCATTTTTGCCACTTTTGATTTGACTGTGGTAAAAGGACCGCAAATTACTACCCGGTCTCATGGCAAATACGTACCTGGGGGCACATTTTTGCAAGACGCGAAATACGTACCTATATCAACGTAATAAAAACGTGCCAGGGTTGACGTATTGAACCCGTGTTTTAGCGCCACTCACTGGACATTTCTCTTTGAAACTGCGGCGAAACGTGCAGTAAGGTACGTAAAAACGGTGTTGCAGTAATGTACACAGAGGTACGTATTTTTATGAGACTGGGTTGGCAAATTATGGGGAATGTGATTCACAGGTTTCAAAAATGTATTTAATTTATTTGCTTTATTTATTTGCTTGTGCTGTAGCAAATTATGGAAAATTAGATTATTGGGATCCTAAGTGTCGGAACATGTTGTGACAAAACTGACACTCATTTTTAAAATGGTTTGCTCTGGACTGTAGACCAGTGATGGGTTTATGGTTAATGATATGAAATAAGTAGACTTTTAAAGCAATTTTTTGTTTACTCAGTTCTTTACTTGTCTGCCACAACCATGTTAATACCTTTTAATTATCTTCTTTTGGACGTTTAGCTAATCAGCTAATCTGGATGTGCTTTTAATGATTTACAATACGCATTTCACAATAAATTATATTAGAATTCTAATCCATTGCCTTCTGGTAAAAAATATCAAAAGCTCATTGTTCATTGGAAGGATTGCAGGTTTTCAGAAGGATTTGATTCTCTTGATGTGTGAGAGATTGTTCTTTTGACAGCACGCCGACATTCCTCTGGATTTATGTCTCTCAGAGCCTGCAAATATGCTCTCAGTTAATGAGTTACATCTTCACTGCATACTATGTATCTGCTCCACTCTGATAGCGCTCATGCCATTCGAATCCTGTTAGAGAAAGACAACACATGCAAATTCCACAGGCGTCTTTTGCAAAAGAATCGGCATGTTTGTCTTTTCTTCCTCACCTGAGCCTGATTGATTCTTTTGTAGCCTGTCAGAATCATAGACATTAATTATCAGGTGTTGATAACACATGATAAACAAAACTGTACAAAGCTTTGTTAGGCTGTTTTGTGGTTTGTTTCCTATTTGGCTCTAGGTAGTATTTCCGCTGTCATCAGAGAGTTGTGCATAAATGAGCGCAGCAGTGCACAGCAGACGTGTCTGTGATTTATATTGCATTGATGGTGTTTCTTCAACGCAGCTTGAGCACTCGCTTCAAAACAGGAAATCTGCTGCAAATTTATTCCCCGTGGCTGTGTGAAAACAGCCTTTAACTCCAATTAAAGTTTGAGATGACTTGAGTGGCTAGGGGAAAAAAAAGGTGTAAAAATAAATTTTTGAGAGCTTTCCCGCTTTTAACATTTCTCACAAAGCCGTTGAAATAATGCAATCTGTTTAATCACAGCTGAGAGTGGTGGTTGGCAGTTCTCTTTTCAGTTTGTGACCTGTAAGAATGCTAAATGTAGCGAATGCCATTTTTAGGTATTCATTGGCTTGTTTATACTGATGTTCAGAGACTGATGTAAATTGTGCAGAGCCAAGTGAGGGACAAAACAAATGGAAGAAGCAAAATAATTATTAGAAGTTTTAATGACACATAACATACCCTGCCTTGACACTTGATGTGCTTGATAACAGTGTGAATATGTAATTATTAATACCCACATTTTTATGGTTTATATAATAATACGACCAATTTCTGTTATTTCCTGCATGGCTTAGACTAGCACTCTGGTATCATTCCACATTTTCCTTCTCTTATAATAAGGTAATTTATGCATATTTTTATAATAAAAACAATAGTTTGTGTATTTATTTGTATCTGTTATTCCCTGCATAGCTTTGCTAGTCTCTAGAATCATTCCACCTTTTTTCTTCTTTTACAATAAAATAGTTTAAACTTAAAACAATACAAAAACAATAGTCTGTTTGTTTTTATTTATTTTATTTTATTTATTTTATTTATTTACTTACTTTTATCGGTTATTTCCTACATAGCTTTGCCAGTCTCTAGAATCATTCTACCTTTTTTTCTTCTCTTAGAATAAAATTTTAACTTATTTAAACAAAACAATAGTTTGTTTGTTTTTATTTTTTGTTATGATCTATTTTTTTTTTATTCATGTTTGTCTGTTATTTAATTATATCTGTTCTTTATATAGCCATATTTTTTTCTTCTCTTACAATAATATCATTTAAAATTAATTTGTTTTAAATAAACCAATAGTTTGTTTGTTTACCTATGTATTTTAGCTGTTATTTTTATTTATATCTATTTGTTGTTTATTTATATCTATCTTTATATCAATCTGTTTCTTTATATTCATCTGTTATTTATATAGCCACCTTTATTTATTTAATTATTTATTTCTGTAAAATCAGTCATTCTTATAATAAACCCGTTCGAGATGACAGACTGATTGTGATCTCTGTTTATTTTCTGATGATGACCTGCTGAATGTACATTATCATTAATTTACTGTGTCATGTATTATTTATAGCATGGACACTCATTTTTAATTTGGCTTCAGATGAGAAAAGAATTGCGGTGTGTTGCTGTCGGCCGTCTCAGTCTTCACGTTTGCTTTTCTCCAAAGGTAAGATGTCAGACGCCCGCGCCGTGCGCAAACAACAACAGCTCGACAACCTGGTTGCCATGGTGACGGAGCTGGCCCACCCCGGGCACACAGTGGTGGATTTCTGCAGCGGGGGGGTAAGTTGCCTTCTGACATTTTAAAAACGTCTTGTACTTTTTTCTGTTTTCTTACGAGAGTCTGTATGTGTGTCAGTAAGCATCTGTTCTCCTCCCTTGTCACCTCATGTAATCTTTGGGAGTGCTCTTGTTATTCTGTGCATACATATAAGCCCTGATGTTACAGCCTGTGAGCAACAGGTCAATATTCTGATGGGTGTCTGTGTTCTCGTGAGCCGACTTTGATCTGATGAGCTCTTTGAGCTCTGTTTCTCCAAGATCTTTTGCAGCTTTCTCTTTCTTTGTTTTCTTAGGGGCACGTTGGGATTGTTTTGGCATACACGCTTCCTAAATGTCAGGTAAGACTTTCTGATTTGTTCAAGTGTAGCAAGTTCAAGTTAAAGGAGTCAAAGAAGAGAAACTTCCTCCCAAGTGACCTCATTTGTTGACACTGGAAAAATAAACTGATTCCAAACTGATTTTTTCCCACAAGACCTTTTTGGGAAAATTGTACTTTAACCAGAGCGAATAGGAAAATCAAGTCGGTACTTACTCTGCATTAGAATACTCTTTGAGCGCTAATACACTTTTGATAGTTCAGTGGATTATTAGGTAGTCATTTAGATGTACTTCATTTTCTCTGCTGATTTTCTTTCCTTTTGATAAAATGGCTTTTCTAAGAAGATTAGTTTGAGGATCAATGAGCAGCTTGGCAATGAACCAGTAAACTGTAACTGGTATTATATGCGGCATGGTGAAATATCCCTTTTTTTTGTTTGTTATCGATCAGGTTATTCTCATTGAAAATAAAGAGGAGTCACTGGTCAGGGCCAGAGACCGAAGCGCTCAGCTTGGATTGACAAACATCGGCTTCGTCCAGGCAAATCTTGACTATTTCACTGGAAACTTCAACATTGGGGTAAGTGCTGCCTTATATTATACATATGCATGATATTTGTATATGAAGTGTTAGACAGATATTTCAGCAAGTATGTTAAATATATTTACAGACATTGTTGTTTTTAAGATGCTTAATTATAATACTCAAAAGTAGGACTGCAACTAACGATTATTTTGCTAATCGATTAGTTGGTCGATTATTTTTCCCGATTAATCGGATTAAAAACAAACAATTTTCTTTTTTTATTTTATTGACAAAAACACACTATTCCACATTCTGCCCAATGTCCTTAAAACAAACGTGCCAACTGAATGCTATGAAAACATACAGTGCTTAACAATTTATTAGACCACCTGCCATAATAAAGAGAAAACACATTTTAGGAATTGTAGGAATCTGTCAAAAAATTGTTTAAATGAATTTGTGACATTTATACATAAGGATATGACCGTTAACTGAAAGTTTTTTTTGCGCTGAGGACGCACACGCATCTGTTAAAGCGCCTGACAGGGCAAGCCATTACGCTAATGCATTAGCTTAAAGCTTAAAATAAAGAATTCTCATGTTTTGGGTAGCTTGGATCACGTAACTCTCCTGCAGCATCTCATTCTGTTTCCTCCACTATTTTAGATGCATTTTGTCCATAGAAATAAGTAATTCAGTGCTTTACGCGACCGGCTGAAGTTGGACAAGTATGTAAACTCCGTTGAACGTGCACTTGTGGGCAGACCCGATTAATCGATAATGAGAATCGTTGTCGATGATTTTCATAATCGATTTTATCGATTAGTTGTTGAAGCCCTACTCAAAAGTTCTCGCTATGATAATGCTAACAGATTTAGGTGGCATTTTTATTCCTCAGTTATTATTGTTTTTTTGTTTAGTTTTTTTTGTTGTAGGAAATTGTTTGTAATTCATCCAGCATTTGTCCTATTTGTGCTACTGTGATCGTTTGATTTAATCATCATTGGTAGCACGATTTATTGTAAAACTTTTTTTTTTTTTCTTTTCAATTGGTCAGAACAAAACTGGCAGCCATGTTACTTACTTGTTCAGATTACATTTTCCGGTGAAAATTCTTATTTTGGAAATACTTCCAAGATGTAGTATCTGTAATTGCGAAGTACAGTGAACTGGTGCGTTGACTGACAGCCTACACATAGACCTCAAAACATTAGATTCATCCGTGCTGAGGAGCCGTGCCAATGCTCAACCCACGTAAAGAAGATAATTCCACAAATAACTGCAATTGCAGGTTTCAAACAGAGATTTACATTTACATTTAGTAATTTACCCCCCCCCCCAGTTTTACATTAGATTTTCAATCCCTTATTTTCAGCGTGCTCTCAGACATTTGGACCCCCATAGCCTTTCAACGATAATTGCTTTTGTTAATGTTTGCTTACAACGTTTGTTCTTGCTATAGAATAGTTAAAAATTATTTCACATTAAGAACATACATTTTTGCCAGAAGGTATAGGTTGTCCCTTCATTTGCATTGTAAAGCCTGTTTAAAAGAATGGATTCTGGCACTCTGTAGTTGCAGCATGTTTGATTCTCCCTGCCATCCATATTAATTATGCTGTTAACCCTCACGTTTGTCCTTCATTTCATTTCAAAAGCGAGTGGGTTTCTCATTTCTGCATTTTGAGTGATGAAATTAACTCATTGACATGAGCCTATCCAACATACCCAAACAGACTGCATTCAGTTTTTCCGTAATTTTTCATTTGCTCAAGTGTTGTAACCACAAACTTATTAGAAATGAGACAGCAAGTTTCTATTACAGAATCTAGCTGGATTGTACCTGTGTTAAGCACTCTCTGACCTTATTTAAGACAGACAGAAATATATTTGCTTTTTTATAATATATTAATACTAATACTATTTATTTTTCATACAGCGTTGGCAAACAGTTTTGGCTTGTTTCAAGCAGAAACCTCTCAAAATGTTGTTACAGTTTGCCAATGTGGTAAAAAATAAACTTAATGCAAGATATTTTATCTGAAAACAGTTTTCAGATAAAAATACTGATTAATAAACAGATTTTTTGCTGTGTAATCTTTGAGGGACACTGCTGTCTTTGTAATAAATGAGGGAGTATGTGCTTGCTGCAGTTTTTGTTTGTTTTTGGCAGTAATGAGATGTTTGGGCCTGCAACCCCTGGCCTCATCTCCACAGAGAGCTGCGGATGCAGTATTGAGCTTCACACACGGCCGAAGTTGGGGGATTATTTGCTGCCCACACAAAGGGGCTTTATCAAACCTTTACTGTTTCCCAAAACTAATACCTGTATCTCTATGTATAACTTCATTTGGGAAACTAGCACGATCATAAAAAAAAAACATGCAAGATTTATATCGAACAGTCACCTAAAAAAAAATTGTCAAAATGACCATCCTAGGTTTATCTAGTTATTTTTTTTCCCTCACATTTTCCCATGTGGAGGTGAAATATTCCTTGACTTACATCAGCAATAAGTGATAAAGGTGTAATCAGACTATTTTAACACCTGTGCAAGCGATAGGACTTTTTTTTTTGATCGCATTAAGTTGTTAAACATTAAATATCTTCTGGTTTATAACATCACACAGCAGTGGATAGAGAAAGTGCTTGTCTCTAGATTCTTGAAAAATCTGAAAATATCAGGGACATTTTAAAATTGTGGTTTACAGGCTTGAAAGTAACACTGTGATATATATTTTTTTTAAATAAAAGTTTTGTTTCACTTTAATTTTGAATGTTTGACATGCTGAATACGAAAATTACATTACTTTTTGTGTATCATTAGCAGTGCTCATGCAAACTAAAAAAATGTGTTGACAAATTATACAAGCTAATCTGTTATTACTCATGCATAACAATTGCAAGGTACATGCATAATACCGAGCTAACATCAGTGTAACATTAACATAAACAGTTACCAAAGTGAGTCGTCCAAAACTTCAGAAGAGTAGAATGGATGAATTTGGTCTTTTATGACTAGTCAAGCGCTAGAATATTACAAAATATTCCGGAAAGTTACAGAAACTTTGAGAATGTTACCATCCTTGCAAAAGTAATATATCTTAAAAAATGCAAAATTAGTAAAAAACAAAAAAAACAACCTAATCTGTTCTAAACCAATGTTTCATAATTAATGATAGCAGTTCTAAAATTTAACTGAATATTACCTAAATATTTACCAATATATTGAAATTGAAAATAAATAATACAATAAAAATTAGCACCACAGAATTACCAAAACCGTAAAAAATAAAATAAAATTGTGAAAGAAATTTTGGTTACATTGTGTAATTAGTCATTGAACTATAGTTTACAAATCAGTCTAAATTTAAATAATTCATTGGTGAATATGTATGAATTTTAATGATTTTTATTAAAATCTTATACAGCAAATACAAGTGACAGGAAACATGAAAAAGTATTCAGATAGAAAAGATTGTTGACGTGTATGGGTTGAGTTTAAAGATTCATTCCACCATCGAGGAACAGTTAATATGAAAGATCTTGAAAGTGATTGTGTACTGTGTTGGTAATATAAGACAGATTCCTTTGCTGTTTAGAGACAAAGAGGTCTTTTAAGGCTTTGAATTAGAATTTTACCTCGTCTTTGAGTTTCTAAACCAGTATCTTGCATAACTCCCATTTCAATAGCATAAATGATTAAAAGGCTTTGCTTGCTAAAGCAGCACAGCAAGAACTGTGTGTAAACAGATACATATTGTTTCCCAGAGGGTTAGATACGTGAAAATAGCTACTATTCCTTTTTTTAAGACAGTCTAATAATAAGGCTTGTAGCTACACCAGGGGAAAAAATGACTAAACGTGGATAATGATGTGAAAAGAGAAGCTATGGGCTGTTTGCTCAGACTTGATTTGTTGTACCTGTTGAATGATGGTGAAACAAGCACACTGCTGTGTTCTGTGGCTATGAATAATGAACTTGCATTGTAGCCGTGAAGCTGCGCCTTCCGCACCTCAGGCAAACTACTTAATTATAATGACAGAAAAGTTTTTTACCCCCATTGAAGGGAAGAAAAAGAAATATCATCAGCAAAAATTGAAGTCCTGCTCCAAAAAGAAAAGAAGAAAAAACCCTAATTAAGAAATATGCTTTTGCAGCATGCTTTATTATTTTGCCATCCAGTGCTGAATAAATTATACAAGGAAAAACAAGCATTGAGGCTGACGTTAAACTCTGTCAATGTCGTTATATTTTCAATGCTTTAATCATTTATTTTGTTTGCAGGATCCTTCAGTACAAGAGACCTCACAAAACTAATGCGAATTCCACTTTATTTGCTTGCAAAGGAAAAACAAACTTGAGCTTCTTTCCCATGCTAAACAACATTCATCTGATCTCTTCGGAGACAGCCCACAAGCTTTGTCTCATTATGACTGTAAATTCATTCTAGAGACGGAGCATCCGAAATTCCGAAGAAAGACTTGGAATGACTGTGATGTGTTTTTCAACCTCTTTCCATTTGTAAAAAAAAATAAATAAAATCGGGCTTAATCGCTTTACCAAAGAATGCCAAGAATGATTTCATGTTAAGCTCAAGTGTAATTGCTTTACAGTATTATTCCCGCAGTAAACCCACAAATATAAAAAAAAAACAATATTTTAAAGTTCTTTTCTATTGACCTGTTCTCACTAAAAATTAAAATTACCGTATTGACCCGAATATAAGACGTTTTTTTCTTGGAAATACATCTCAAAAAACGACATCAGATTCTTAGTTCAAACACACCTTTGTAAAAAGGTGCAAATGATACCTAATGTATCAATTAATAAGACTAAGTTTGATACTTGCACGTCTCGTCTGTCTGAAAGAAAGGCTTGATGCAGTCCAAAGGTTCAAGTTGATCTTTGCTGAAGTTGGTTGATGAAAAAGAACCAGTTTGAGTCAGAGAATCTTGGTGAATGGAAAAGTCAAGGCCGAAGCCTGGCACGAACTTAGTGTGTCCTGGAGCGTTGTAGCTCACATCTTCTCAAAACCTAACAGAACCACTGACTCTGGGCGGGTCACTGAATGTGAGGCCTTTAAAGTCTGCGAAGATTCCCGCCTCTCAAGATGGGCTTGTCCAATGAGAAAGGCCGGAATCCCAAGTGGGAGTTTTGAGATACTGGGGAGTTTTTATGACCCTTTGTGTGAGGGCATGGTAATTTGCAAATGGAACTTGAATCGAAATTACTAAAGATTCTCAGGACACTAATATATTGCCTATGTACCCACATATAATATACACTCTCGTTTAGATCATCAGAAGGCGAATTCATAGATACTAAACATGGTAGGATTACATATAGGTAAGATGACAGGAATGAGTGTTTCCATCATAAGCCTGCATAAAACAGTATAAAATCTCAAAGACAACATACACAATGACCTGAAGGATATGTGTGTTCATTCAAAGAAAGGTTTTCCTATGGATTAATTAGAAAAGAGTCCATTTCTACTGTGCACTGTGTCTCTTCCTTATGGAAAAGGCAGTGATTTTCCCTACTCACATTCCATTAGGTCGTAAATGTATCTGGTGTCAGGGTTGCCATGGTAACCAGGGTCCTGGGCCTTGTTCACAGACAACTTGGCACCCAGTATGTTTATTGGGTGAGGGGTCTGTGAACGTTTGTTAATCTAATGAATAATTGATTTGTTAAATCAAATGAAAATTGGTGTGTCTGATTGGTCGAGACGCTACACCACACTGGACGCTTTGCCAATATTTCTTTTTCCTAATTTATTCAGTCTCGGCTTATAATATGTCAGCTAGGGCTGTGTGTTTTCCCACACGGAGTTCACGGACATATTTCCTCCTCTATGGCAACTCCAAGCGGCATGTAAAGCGAATCCTCTGAGATTTGGCCACATTTCCCGGAAAACTTCTTATGGGGGATTTAAAGGGTGTTAATCCGTGGATTTGGTCGGCTGTGCGCACACACGCTCATTGAGACAACAGTTTGCATTATTTGTTCCAGTCTCTCACCCTAACAGTGATGGATATAGGCACTGGTCCGTGAGCCGAGCCGAACGCTTGATCTTCACTTGAGCTTCTGTGACGACATCTAAGATGTTTCTTTACCCTCCATCAAGCTGTTCGATCCACTTTTTCTGCTAATAGGCAGAGAGACATCTGCTGTCATGCGGTGTCACAGTGGTGGGGTATGACTGCCGCTCTCTCTCTCTCTCTCTCTCTCTCGCTCTGTGCCTAAACCACTAACAGATCAATGAGAACACGGCTAGATACAGAAAGGTGGGAAGAGCTTTGAGATGTGTGGAAATGTGGTCAAGGACAGACGGAAAGCAGTGTGAAGAGTTTTCAATCTGGTTGTCATGCATTGATTTACACCACCCTTGTCACGTGCTTGATCGAAAAAGGGGGGTCGTCTTATACTCAGGGTCGTCTTATATTCAGGCCAATACGGTAGTCAGACAAGTTTTGGATTTTTTTTTACATTTTATTTATTTATTTATTTTTGGTTTGTTTTGGAATTTTTTTATATGCTTTGGTTTCTGTTTTCCTTTTTTATGGTTTTGTTTTGTTTTTTGCTTTTATAGTAGAACAGTTCATTTTGTGCACAAGAAACATAAAAGCCAACAGTAATCATGCAGATCAAAAAGACATGATAATGTGTTTTAGATATATTTATACTTTATTGCAAAGCTCTATATTATTACTGTCAGTACACTGTTATTGTGTTAGTTATTATATCTCCTATTCCTTTATCATCCTATCACTATATAGCTACCTAAAAGTCATGTATTTTATCAGATCTTGTATTTTGTGTTAAAGTGAGTAATATCTTTTCTCAGTTGTGCTACATCTAGCATTAAAGCATTTGCCAGAATACTTTTTCATTTTGCCTTTGGTGTGAATAGACTTGTCTGAAAAAGGCCATATTCCTGTACTTTGTACCTGAAGTCGTACACTAGTTGTGCATTGATTTACTCTTTAAAGTCTCTTGTCCATCATTGTAGAATCTGCAGTTTTGTTGCATTAACTTCAGAAATTCACCTGCCGACGTCTTCAAAGCTCCAGGTTTTCACGCTCGATTTTGCTTGTTGTGGTGATGCGGCGCTCTGTTGTTGGCTTCTGACGTGAATGGATGGCCCCATTATGAGATGGTGGTCTACTTCAAAGCCGAAACCCTGCGTTAATGGATTCTGATCAGTACATAAGGGTGGCCCTTGAATACTCAAACACCTGCCCGGGGTTTTTGAGAATGGCTTTATTCCAGATCCTGTTGAAAAGACATTATGAATCATTTCTGTCTAATTAGCGTCTCAAGAACTTAATTACAGTCCACTGTAGCGAATCAGCTCATTCATGGGGAAATATGAATAATTAATCATAACTAGTTATAATTAATTATTATAAATATTTAGATCCGCTGTAGATATTTACTTGACCTCTAGTCCTCAAATACAGCTGGCACGTCACCCGATTGGCAAAACATCATGACGTCATAGTGATGATTGGCAGTCCCGTCAGCCAGTAAACACCGACCTAGAAGCGGAGCAACAATAACAAAAGGACAGGAGAGCAGAAAGAAACACAATATACACAAAACACACGTGGAACGTAACAACCCTGAATACTGGAAAATAGTCTAATACACGCATTTATAATGATATAACAAATTGTATTTTACTTTAGGTACAGCAACCCTACTGGTTTAAATGTCAAGTTCCTAGTAATGTAATCTTTTAGTCTTTCATGTTGGCTTCATACAGGTTTGAAAAACTTCTGTACCAGTCTCTAAATTTGTTTTTAATTTAATGACTTCAAAAATGTGTTGTGTGACTATCAAGTAATCAAATGTTTTCCATACACCTTTTTCTCCTCTTAAGTATTTCATCCTTTTAATGAGACCTGTAAGCCTTCCCACTTTGGTTATACCTTGACATATTTTGAAACATATTTTGACATAAATCTGAAAATTCATTTAATTACGAAAATGAAAAAAAAAAAAATGTTTTCATACAAGTCATGTATTCAAGTCATTGTCTGTATATCTTACATTTTTATTGCATGTTTCAGTAAATTAATTTGATTCAATTCAAGTTGATTTCATAACCGGTCAAAAGTTTGGGTCAGAAAGATTATTTTTTGAAGAAGAAATTAAGAAATGAATGCAGAGATGCATTAAATTGATCAAAAGCGACATTTATAATGTTACAAAAAAAGTTTCTATTTCAAATAAATGTTGTTCTTTTGAACTTTCTGTTCATCAAAAAAATATGAAAAACAATTATCACACATTCCACAAAATTATTAGGCAGCACAACAGTTTTCAACTGTTTTCACAAAGTTTTTTCCAGCTGTTTTGAGCGCTAAATCAGCATATCAGAATGATTTGAGAAGGATAATGTGAGACTGAAAGCTTGAGTAATGATGCTGAAAATTCAGCTTTGTATCACAGGAATAAATTACATTTTATAATATATATTCTAAAAAAATGGTTATTTTAAATTGTAATATTACTTCGCACTATTATCGTTGTTATACTATATTTTTGGTCAAATAAAAGCCGTGGTGAGCATAAGAGACGACTTTCAAAAACATTTGAAAAATCTTCCCGAAAAAAAAAAGACATCAAACCCTTTTATCCAAAAGTGACACATTATTTTCTTGCTCAGTTGTGGTTGGTTGGTTGGTTACCAACTTTTGGTTAAGAACCCATGTCTTTAAGCAGTGTCTATTTCAGGTGGCCCTGCATGCGTGCGGAGTGGCGACAGACATGGTGTTGGATCGCTGCCTCCAGGCGCGGGCGGGATTTGTGATTAGTCCGTGCTGCTATGGGTTCATTCAAAACACACTCAAGTTCAACTTTCCCAAAAGGTGAAAACTATGTCTCTTCTGTCTCTCTGACTTTCCTTGCTTGCTATCTTTCTTTTCATTTGTTCGCCTAATTCCACAGTACACAACGATAGTGTAGATCTATAATAATCCACGGTATTAAATGTTAAGCTCTGCATACTCTGGAAAAAATACTGACGAGAATGAATGATGACGATCAAAAAGAGCTCACCATAATAGATAACCATAATAAACATTCGTTATTGCGTCTATTTCTGTCTTTCTCTTCACATCAACGTTCAGAATTGAATGTCCTGCATCAACAATCACACAGCTGAGTCTCATCATTCTCACATTTAATGTTGGCAAGATCATCTACAAAAGAGAGAGAGTGTTTTAAAGTTTCCTAACAGTGAGAATTGCTTTCGAGCAGTCATCAGTTTTTCCGCCAATCGCAAGCTATCATTCTCCAAATCTGGCATAAACTTTCATTTAATCTCAGGCAGGAATTTTGCCGCAGGGCATGAGCATCTGGGTGGCAAGAGAAGCGAGCGCAGGAAATTATTTTTCCGCGGTTGTGTTCACGGTGTTGCCATGACAGTGATTTGTCATTTGTGGCATTCGACAGTAGACCAGCAAGGGCGACCTGATGACAGACAGTCAATGTACCAAACATTACCTACCACACACATAATCTCCAAGAGTTTCGGAGCTCTTCTTTATAATGCAAGTGTTACATGAGACATCCTGCTGTGTTTACACACGGCTTATTTCTGCAACCAAACCACTACGTGCGTTTGTTTGTTTTTTTGTCCGTAGAGAATGTTTTCAGCGTCTCCTTTGATCCGAATAGACTGTCCTCTCCTTAAACTTGTTTTTTTCTTTAACATGTCGTGTCATTTTTCATTCGCGCCTCAGTGTGTGTGAGTTCATTAAGTCTGCCCCCCTCTGTTTCTCCACAGCGCCAGGTTTACAGAGACTCTGAGCTATAAGGTAAGTGTTTCACCGCTCGCTTTCACTCTTTTCATTATCGCCTACACGTGTAGGACGTCACACTGCCTGATTCTGAGGGCAAGACTCTTCTGAGAAAACTCCACAGGAGCCTCATAATGTGCCTCATGTATGTGAAGAGCAGTGTTTAGTCATGTTCAGCTCATGACTGACAAGAGGTCATGACACTGTAATTGGAATGAGTCTTATTAGCCTGATACTAGAATCAGATGTTCAGACCTTGTTTTTCCACTTTGCTCTTGAGACCTGGCATAGAAAATAAATTACTTAATGTTAATATACTATATATCAGTTGTTATTTTAGTACTATTTGTTTGCTAGTTTCGGTTCGTGAAAAACAGACGCCTAGCATGATAAAGCGAATTAGAGCTGTGGAACAATCGCACTGTCGTTCGCCTTCAGAAACACTTACAGGAAATGCAAACACACAACGCTCATCCAGTATCTTGTATGGACATCTGAAAACAGAAAAATGGGATTAGTAAAATAAAAAACAGGAGAGAGAGAACCTGTAATCGTTCACATGAATTTGGGTGTGTATGAGTTGAATTTGTAATATGTTCTGAAATGGAAATATGCACGGCACACTAATTGTTCTTTTTGTCCATATAATATGGATTTTGGTATTTGTATAAAAACTAACATTATATATATATATATATATATATATATATATATATATATATATGTATATTAGCTTTAATTTATATTTGATTACTTTTGTACTTCTGCTTAATTTTTTTTTCTACTTTTTCATAACATTTATTTCAGTTAGTTGCCAAGGAAACATTGCTTATTTTTCATCTAATATTGTTTAATTTTTTATTTTTTCAAAAATAATAAAAACATTTATTGAACAAACTATTTACATGATGTTCAGTTCTTTTAATAGTTCTTGAACATGGATAGAAAGTTTGAAGTAGAAGTTAGAAATTCTGAGTAGTGAATCTGCAGTCTGCATTCAATTTTAGATAAAAAAAATACTACAGCATGTTAAATACTATAAATAAAATGCTATATAATACTATAAATAAAATACTAAGACCATAAACTCGCAACAAATACAGTGCCACTGGAGTCATAGATTAGTCAGTCACAAATCAAATGTACCAAAAAATAAATAAATCGTTATTGAATCACTGAGTTGGAAAATGTTCAATTCTTTATGATTCTCTGTTCTAGTAAGAGAGGATTTTTTTTTAATAATAGAGAAAGCCATATACATTTAAAATATCGACCAGTGTTTATTGGCATAAAAATTAGGTAACACTTTAGATTAGGGAACATATATTCACTATTAAGAGCTGTCCCTCAATAAACTCTTCATTTGCTGCTTATTGATAGTAAGTAAGGTAGTTGTTGTAGTAGTTGTGTTTAGGTATTGGGTAGGTTTAAGGGATCTAAAATATGGTCATGCAGAATAAGGTATTAACATGTGCTTTGTAAGTACTAATAAACAGCCAATTTGCTAGAAATATGCATGCTAATAAGCAGCTAGTTAATAGTGAATTGTTCCCTAATCTAAACTGTTACCAAAAATGATAGTTTCAGCCAAAATGTCTGTTCCAGTACATCTCTAGTCATAACTATAGAGGACAAAATAGAAGCAGAGATGAATCTCCATCAGCTCTTTGCTCTCACAACCAACTTTGTGAAAATGTTACTGTACAAGAAGTACCATAAGCCAGTGTTTTTCCTTCTCTTCAAGCTCTGCTGAAATAGGGTATTCCTGGGAATAGAGTGGCCATGTAGCCTACTGTAGTTGCACGTTGTATTTTTCCCAGTCTTATCCCCAGGCGCTGACGGCACAGTGAGGCAGAAGTGTGAGTAATGGATGAGGTTAATCAGTCGTATCTCACAGTCATCAGTGTTCGCTTGACTCCTGCATCTGCCTCTCTCACACTGCGCTCACGGCCCCTGCCAAGATATCACCTAATTAGGGGCCTACAAGAGACAGGCAGTTCCCTGAGCGTAGATCTAGAGCAAACAGACGTTTAATTAGTGGTGTTTACCAAAACAAACATCGCTTTTTCTATTACTATTGGAATTTGAACAAACTGAATTATGAATTAAACTGTTAGGACGTGTTGAGGATACTGACGTAGCAAACCTGGCAACCACCCTTAACACCGTTGCAACTTTGGCACAGCTAAATATCACTCAAAATTTGATCTACACACAGTTTAGATGCATATACTTTTCTTTGATTTGCAAGAAGTCAGCTGGTTTGTTAAATTTGACTGGATTGTTCATTGTATACTATTACATACAGTGATTGCATTCATAAAATGATTTCAGTGCATTGAAATTCCCTACAGAAAAATCTATATTTTTTAGTTGTTAGGACTTGATTTGATTTTGATTTGTTCAAAATGAAAATAAAAAGACAGATTCCCTGCGCTTCTTTCCAAACTAGCATAATCGATGCAGCGTTTCTCATCGGTACGAATACTAAACATGCTCTAGAAACACTTTACTGTGTTAAAGCCTGTTTTTGAGACGTTGTACTGAGTTATAGCATTGATCGCAGCTATTAGCCTAGAGGATTAAACTTGATAGGAGGAATCAATCTGCCAGGGCTGTTACGTTCCTTTCCATCAGCACTTGTTTCACTCAGTTAATGCAAAATAATGGTTGCTTGAAGCCATTGTTGGTCATCAACAGCAGAGGAAGTCATTTTGCGGCACTTCCTTGCAACGTTCCCTGCAAAAAATGCAATTAGATTATATTGATTAATACAAAATGAACTGGGTGCTGCTTTCCTCTGAGTTTCCCTTTTAATGGCTGGTTGTAATGGTTGATAAATGGTCTGTTCTCTCACCACAACCCTAACAATCTGATGCATCGATATTTCGGTAACACTTTATTTTGATGGTCCCTTTTGAGCATTCTGTTGACAATAAGTAACTTTGCACCTACATGTCAACTAACTCTCATTAGAGTGTTAGTAGACTGTCTGCTTAATATCCGCTAACTCATTATTGTGATAGTCTCCCAACAGACATTCTACTGACTATAAGTAACTTTGCACCTACATGTCAACTAACTCTCATTAGAGTGTTAGTAGACTGTCTGCTTAATATCCGCTAACTCATTATTGTGATAGTCTCCCAACAGACATTCTACTGACTATAAGTAACTTTGCACCTACATGTCAACTAACTCTCATTAGAGTGTTAGTAGACTGTCTGCTTAATATCCGCTAACTCATTATTGTGATAGTCTCCCAACAGACATTCTACTGACTATAAGTAACTTTGCAAGTACATGTCAACTTATTCTAACCCTAACCCTACCAATCTACTAATACTCTACTAACACTCTAATGAGAGTTAGTAGATATGTATGTGCAATGTTACTTACAGTCAACAGAATGTGTTAAAGGGACCATCAAAATAAAGTGAAACCGATATTTCTCTGCAATTTACACTAGCTGAGCCACACGCATGCTGTTTATCAGATATTTTTGTTTGTGTACATTTATGTGCAAGTGTGTTTATTGACGTGTCTGCATGTGTATATGGTTTCCAGGAGCACATGGTCCTGTGCAGGTTTGCAGACCAGACGGCTGTCAGTTTACCCCCAGAACGACGATTAATCGGTAAGATGTGTGGTTTTTTTAACAGGTGGTCAGAGTTGTTGTGCCTGTTTTGCTTTAAGAGGGCAAATTCCTAATAGAGATCGTCCATATGGCTACAATTTTTAGGCCAGAATAAGCTGCAGTGTTGACCAGTGTTGACTATTATCATTAACTAAAATGGAAACTAAAACCATGAAAAATGTAGATATTTTTTGTTATTTGAAATAAAATAAACATTAACTGAAAATAATATATATGTGTGTGTATAATAATATAATTATATTTATATATATGTGTGTGTATAATAATAAAATTATTTAACTGAAAATAATATATATGTGTACACACACACACACACACACACACATATATATATATATATATATATATATATCGCATAAATATAAAACATTTCATTTCAGGTAGTTGCCAAGGAATCATTTCTCATTTTATTTTAGTTTAACTTGAAGTATTATAAAAACAAATATCTAAAATTAAAATTAAAAACTATTTAGAAATAAAAATGACAAACACACAACAAAATAACTAAAACTATAACTAAAATTAAACGTGTAGGTATGTAATATTGACAGCTAGTGGTTGAAATGGGTACTGCAGTCCAAATTCAAAATATTAGAGTTGTTTCTCGCTCCCCCTCAGACTTGACGCTCAAACGGGTTGCCAGATTGAAGACACACAACGGGAATGAGTGCAACTGACAATGGAAGTTGATGAGTTGATTTATCCGCGTTTTAATATGCCTTTGGTCAAAGAGCTTTTTCGATGGATGCCGAGGCTTTTTAGGTCGGGTAGAATCTGCGATCTCTGACAACGTTCGTTTGATGGCTTCCATGGCTGCAATACGCTTTGTTTTCCACCAACTGGCAACCTGGGGGGTCGAAATACTATTAAACTGGCAGTGGGCAGAATCACACAGACCAAAACAAAAACAGACATTCCGACACGGAACGCACATTTCAAACTAGAATAACTGGCTGTAGCATTGTTTTTCAGAGAAACAAATTTGTGAATTTAGCAACTTGCAAAAAAAAAAAAAGTTACATTCTGCACCTTTAAAATTAAAATGGAAATTTTAAAAAATAAAAACAAATTCTAAATATTAATAAAAACTAAAATAGTTATATCAGTAATACTAAAATAACACTGTTCAGAACACTGTTTTTTGCACTAAAGACGAGTATAATGGTTCAGTGTACACATTTGACACAAAATACTAGTTGATAAATTGCAGCTGGTTAATTGTTTGCACTTCCATTGGACATTTAAAAACCTTTGTAAATGTTTCTCTGGACCAAAAGCGCTTGTTAGGTTACCAATAAACCCTTAAAAAGCGTTTCAGTAAAACACAGTAGTGAGATCAGACACATCTCTCCGCTCGGTGACCTCTCTCTCTCCATCAAATTTCTCACTACACACATTCAGCTTCACAGTCTCATCGCACTCTCGCATAAATCTGACGCCACTGTCATCTTTCCTTCCACTGCCCATCTTTTATAGCTGGCGAGATGACAGCCTCTCAGCCTCTTCACAAAACACATGCTAACCAGCGCCGGTGCCTCTGACGTGTCAGACAAAGCTGAGACTTTCCAAAGGCTTTCAGAGCTTGATATCTTTGAGTTTAGATGAGCTAATAATTACAAATTGATATGATGATAAAGTTTGTTTTTAGTGTGTTTTCAAAAGGCACTGCTTTAAGTTTTACTGTTTTATCCCTGAGATAACAGAGTAGCTCTAAAGAAATGTCTGTTATTTTGTAAATTTGAAAGACCTTTCTATTCATCAAATAATCCAAAAAAAAAAAGGATCATGGTTTCTATAAATGTATTAAGAAGCACAACTGTTTTTAACATTGATAATAATAGTAATACTTCCTTCGCATCAAATCAGTATATTAGAATAATTTCTGAAGGATCATGTGACACTGAAGACTGGAGGAATTATGCTAAATTCAGCTTTGCATCACAGGAATAAATTACCTTTTCAAATAAATATATAAAATAGAAAAAAGTTATTTTAAATTGTAATAATATTTCACAATATTACTTTAGACTGCATTTATGAACAAATAAATGCAGCCTTGGTAAACATTTAAAAATCTTTCAAAAACATAAAAAATATTACCAACCGTAAACTTTTGCAAATTCATGTAAGCCCAGAAAATTTTGCAAGGATACCAGAAATATCTTGTTCATCCACTTTGAAGAATAGAACTTTAAGGAAAATTTAGACAACTTTTACAGCTAATTTAACACATATTTGTACTAACTGCTTAATATAAGCAATTTATAAAAAATATGAGCTACACATTTATGCTTTTGCACCCTTTGGAGTGTCATTGTAAGTTATAACATATATTTGTTTTTGGGTTTTTTTGCAGATTCAAGGGTAAAATGTCTGTGGTAAAACCAGAGCATTAATTTATTTCATTGACTTGATAATAGAACTCTTAAAAAAACTAGTTAGAAAGTACATTTAGGTTTCAGTAAAATTCAGCTTTTTCATGACCATAATTAACAGTGCAACAGCGGAGTAATGTCTTCAGCATAGATTTCTGGCCTGTTCTCAATAAAGATAACGTTTCATAATTCGTCTAATTTCCAAATCTCATTTCCTTAATCACCAGGGAAGCGCTGTATGGGACTGGTGGACTTGGACCGCAGTTGGGCCGCCGAGACTCATGGGTATTCTGTGAGGGTGATGACCATGGTCCCCGAGGGCTGCTCGCCTAAGAACAATATGTTGGTGGGGATACCGACAAGATAACACTGACTCATGAGAAATAGCCACGTTATGTCAGGACTACAAATACCTCCATGAACGGGAGTTCACTGTTTTTTATATATTCCATGAGATGCTTGATGTTACTTCTTGAGTTTTTACTTTGGACAATTTATATTTGTAAGCATTTCATTTTAAGTGATAGTTCACCCAAATATTAAAATTTTGCAGTCATTCTGAACAAAAATATGTTAGTCACTCTTTTCAAAACAATGGTATGATGACAAGATTTGAATTTTTGGGTGAACTATTCCTTTAATTGTTTTCCTTTGATCCAAAAGCATGGATTGCATGGATCAATGTATTTGCACATACACACTTGAATCATGGTTTGATCTAATTGTGCAATCAGTATATTTGTTTTTTAATTCCGATTTTTAAAAGGCTTTTAAACTTGACTTCATCTTAACAATTAGAGGGATTTTTATTTCAGTAACGTCTTGATTTACATGCCAGGGGTTTGTTTGTAAAAAGAGTCAAAAAACCAGCATGCCCCTCAATAAATTAAACATGATTTCAAATGCTGTTTGCAAATCAGACACATTGAATTGTGTAAACGCACCTTACACCCTTTCCTCCACCATTATCGTGTATTATGCATAAAACAAAGGAGTTTCAAAAGCCTGCTTTTCTCAAGTTATTACCAATGTAAAATTATTCATTGTAATTTGCTCTTTTCCCTCACAAGAAAGCAGAGACGTCGCTCTTGAGCTTTTGTCTCGGTGTTTGATTAAAAGTATTGAAAGTAAACATGAGGAGGTATTTATCGCGATTCCCTTGTGTCGGGGGCGGGAGAATTGGAGGGGTTAATATTTATGAAATGGTGCATGGATTAATCTGACCACGGTTATGAATATTTGATTAGGCCACGGCTCACACAAATGTCAAAGTCATGTCATTGGTCTACAGCGTACGCTGATATATGAACTGTTCCCCCAGCTTTACTTTGCTGTGTTTGGACCCATACTGGCATCAAACTTGCCTCCGGTTTGCTCACTACAGAAGAGCCACGGACTGTCACGTTTGTGATATAGAGATGAGATCTGTTCATCCGCTATGAGGAAGTGCACAACCTTTAAGCTTTGAGGAGACAAGCTTGCAAAGCTCATCTGAATTCTGCTAGCGGAGCCAATCTCTCTGAGTGTGAAAGACCGGAGACGGGGGCACCTTCCAAAGAGCTGGAATCATTTCAATGGGAAACTTTGCTTTTCTCAAGGATTGGCTCTGGGCCCTGACTACATGAAAAACAAATGCATACAGTATAGGATAGAATGAGGCTAGATACAACTGCATTACTGTAATACTGGCATAAAGATATCGGAAGGTTGTTTCTTTTGTCTTTTTCAATGTCAGCAGAATTGCTGATTGTCAAAATACAAAATATGATGCAATAGGCCAAAAATCTGACAGTGCCACATGCACAATGCTTGAAAACAGGCCATGTAAAGCCCATACTGACGGCAAAAGTGTCGGTGTATGTAGAATTTTGGTGTTGAGCTTATTTTTTTGTTACATAAAACATGTTGAAAATACTAATCAACACAATCTTTTGCAGTACAGGCCTTTATGAAGGAGTATAATATAATGAAGTGAACTACTCGCTCATTGAATGAAAAAGACATCAACTGGACGTGATGCAAAGTAAATCTATCTGAATTTAGACAATTTGGGTTTTGGTTCCTTTCCCATTGGATCAATTGCAATTTGGATGTAAATATGGTCCTTCTCTGTATGCACATTTTAATAATTCCCAGCAACCATTTTATATTTTATGGCATTTATTGAAAATAAATATTGAATGCAGTAACCCAGAAATCACTATTTTCTGTATAGAGCAGAGTTACACAACAGAAGCACTATGCCCAGTTACGCTGCTGCTTTGCTTAAGAACTGCTTATGTGGGCGAAATGGTCCTTAAACTTTGGCACATAACTCTTCCCATACCATTTGTGCAGTAGAAGTGAACTAAAGGCATTAGTGCCCGAGAATGTGTATGAGAATGTTTAACTAAACAGTTGACATTAGCCATTGACTTCCATAGTATGGGAAAAAATACTGTGGAAGTCAATGGCTACCGTCAACTCTTTGGCTACCAACATTCTTCAAAATATCTTTTGCGTTCAACAGAAGAAAGAAACTCGTGCAGGTAAATTATGATTTTGGCACAGTTTGCCCACCAACTGTGATTACAACTCTCTGATTGGTGGAAGTGTCTGTACAGCATCATGGGTAATGCAGTTTTTCATCATGAATTCAGCTTTTAAGCACGATTATTTTAAAAATAAGTTGAAATAATGTGAACGGATGGCTTCAACAAAAGCGTGTACCATTGAATAACAACCTTAGAAGTTAAAGTAGGTCTTTCTTTAGTTATTGTTCAAAAAAAATTCTGCCCATGGAGAAAATTGAGTTTTTACTTCCGAAACCCAACTGTTTCAGTCTATAGCTCAAATCACTTACTTTTTGAGGAGAGGTGTGTTTTTTTTTATTTTCACAAGTGATCAGTCTTATGAATTTCACATCGCGGATAATATAGCGGATGGAAAAAGTTCTTTAAGCTCGAGTTGAAAAGGGGCCCCATGAGAATATCATATTTACTTGGGGTGGGCATTTGACTTGGATCATAAGCAACCACCTAGCAACCGCATAACAATGAGCTGAAAACCCACTCAACACCTTATCAACCATATAATGGTGTCCTGGCAAGCACCCACAACACCCTAGCGAGATTTGCTTCCTGCAGAAAATGTAAAAATGTCATTTTTATATCTGCAGCTCTTCACATGCTTTCTACAATGCTAATTAAAATCTGCTTGTGTAGCCAAGAACCCAAGAGGTAGAAAAGATGCATCAAGGGTGCTTAAAGCGCTGAGAAGTAGAGACGAAACAGTAGATATTGTAAAGGAAGCAATAGAGCACTCTGTACTTGTCATCAGAGAAGGTCAGTTTCTTCGGAAATATCAGAAGAGCAATGTGCAATTTCACCTATGGCAGGCTGCAAAATTCATGAGCAAATCAAGCCGCAATCCACCTTAAATTCATCTGTGACAAAACCTAATCAGAAAGCGCGGCAGGCTCTCCAGTTCTGAAGAGGTTGAAAATGAGTTTTTCTCCAGTGTCACCATTCATAGAGGCTGTGGACGGATCTCCATGAATTTATAGTGACTGTGTCTTTTCTTAACATATCTTGAAATGTCACTCTGTAGTTCATGTTCACCTGGACTGAAAATACACATGAAGCACATTTCTCTTTGACAATGATAACAAACTTTGCAAGGCATTACGAATTTAAAGCTCTGTTGTGTAATGCAGCATATTGGTATGTCAGTGGATGTAGCCATAATCACTGAATAGTTTTACATCTCTATTGAAAAATTACACAAAATACTGCTAAAGCAAAGGCTTAAAGGCTGTTTTAGTCTTTTTGATCTTTTTCTTTGCTTTATCAAAATTTATGATTTTAAGAATTTATTGTTTGTAATTGTATATTTTATTTCGAAATTGTGAAATATGTTTTCCAATAATATGTTACTGGTATGTTTACCATGTACTGGATCTTTGAACTTCTTCCTTCTTCGGTCTAAAGCACATCAACATATTTCACTTTCTTTGCACTTTTCATTTAGAACGGAAATGAACAGTCCTGCATTACAGGACATATGCTGTGCTTTCTGTGCAGGAGTCTTCTGTTCAGTTTAGACAAAGTTGCCAAAACTGAGTATATTAATAGGAACATATTATTTAAAAGCAAGCTGATTTTACAGTACCATATTCTAGTGCTAATGTACATTCACACCGCAGCTGAATGACTAACCAAATCTGTCCCCCAGCTCTCATGTGAGAAAAATTGCATCAAATTTGACATTTTCAGATAGGACCTGGGCCACTTTTTATGTATGGAAATAAATAGGACGCATATCAAAATGTTGGCAATGTGGCATGTGTAAACATTCAGGTAAGAATTCATATTAATTTTTTGTCAGTTGAATTCTGCATTTGTCATAATAATGTTCTTGATTTACAGTGAATATGGGCAGTGCTGTGATGTCGAGGTTTTAGAGCTTAATATAAGGTGTGCTATATATCATTCATAATAGTAAATATATGTATTATAATGAAATTATATATATATATATATATATATAAAACAGGCCATTTACAGTTGCACTTTGAGTGTGACTTACTCACTGCAATGTGAGCTGTTTCCTTGTCAATTTTCTGTAATATAGCACCTTTGTTAAAGTGTAGAGCATGAATATGGCACTAGACTGCTTTGAGATGGGGCCAGATATAGATGTGGTCTGGCATATTGCATGTCTAAGTGATCACCCAATGAAATTGGAGTCGAAACATGAAAATGAGACGTAACCCTGCACACGACTCCTTGAGACCCGAAACTCAAGTGATGAGTTAGGAGCATAAATCTTGCTTTCAGCAGTTTTACGTGACCAACGCAGGTGCCCTCCTGTCTCCTGTCTGCAAATAAATAAATGAAAATACAAAAAAACTTTACCAGTGATTATTAGTGATTAACTTTACCAGTCTTATTAGCATCATACTGGACAAGTGACCTAAAACATATATTTTAAAAACAATGTAGAATTTACAATTTTTACTCAGAAATTATTAGTAAATTTCACAAATAATAAACAGAATAGAAAAAAGCAGAAATGCAAGTAACACATTGACTTTACATTGAATTAATTGTGTATATATACAATATATATGTATATATATATATATACTGTATATGTATGTGTATGTATGTATGTATGTATGTATGTACAAACCGCATTTGTCACTTAATTAAATAACATATTATACAGTCATATTGAAATGAGATGTTATTTAAAAAATATATTTGTATGACTTATTTTGACAATCTTTACTGGTAAATTTCACAAATAATTACAAAGAAACGGCACATTGAATTTAACATGTAAAAACGTTTTACTTCATATATAGGCCTACCTATGTATTTACAAGTACCTCAAGTATCACAAACGTCATCCATCAAAATAGTATAAATTTATAATAGTAAATTTAGAGTAAATATATATTATACAGTCATATTGACATTAGATGTTGCATATACACATATAATAAACTTGTAATTATATGGGAGTAATAGGGTATGTGGAATAAGCGCTCGCGTCTCTCCTTATTGGGCGCAGTGCTCGTTCACAGGGTGTGGGGAGAGAGAGAGAGACACAGAGGAGCGCACCGACTCTGCGCTCCAGTCCACGGCTCTCCAGCGGAGGAGCGGAGCGGAGCGCAGACTGAAAAGCTGCCGGTCTTTCGTGCATGAACAGCAGTCTGTTCGACCCGCTTCAAAGCTTTGAATATTGACTGATCTAAACCTCACCATCAGTCCCTTCCACACACAGGAGACCAGCGGCGACGTTTGGATACACGCACCGCACACACAGCACCACTCAAGCACGGGGATGTGGATCATAAAGTTCATGTTGATTTGGACCTGCTGCTTCGGAGTGAGCGCGGACTTCGGTGGCAGGTGAGACCTCAGTTAAACGGATAGACGATTGAATCAATGTGTTGTAAAGAGTTTTGTAGAGACACATTTTAGTTTGTTTCAATAAGAGTAATTTTATGATTCCGGC